TACAAATTTCAGAAACAGATCAGTTCTTCCTTGGTCCTGGCCTCCAGAATCTTAAAGAGATGAGAAGGATCAGGAAGTGAACCTAAATCTGCTGGGTTGTTCACACTTTAGATTGCAGTTATTGCTGTGTGGATCTGAACAGCCACCCAGATGCTAATGGCGCTGCTCCGGTGTCAGTAAGATCAGAGAAGGGACTCCAGTGTTTAATTTTTGGATAGCTATCGGATACAAATCAAAAGACCAACACATATTGAGAGATAAGTGAGAATGTCTTTTTTGTCTGTGTTAACAGCAATGTTCTAAGATAAAGCTGTTATTTTAAAACATGACCTATTTTCCCTTTGCATGGGTCTTTTAACTATCCTGGAAAGAAGGATGTTTATATAATTTTGCAAAGAAATGTGAACTGTTCTACTCCATTTACATTTCTTTGTTCCAAAATGTATTCCTCTTGTTGAGATTCCAGCAGACAAGGAAAGCAGACACAGCGGTTACTTTCCAATATGAAACTTAAAACCACAATCTCCCGCTCAGAAAACACAGAATGAGTCACAGGAAGGGGCCACTTGCTTGCAAAATTCATTAAAAGTAAGGCAAGGCAAAATGGATTTCCTGTATCAATAAATAGATTTCTGGCAGCAGTCGCAACACCTGACATTGCTAGAGGCGTAAAACCAGTCCARGAGCAGCCATTTGAAAAGTGGGATCAATTCTTTAGCTTGCAAACTGTGTCTCTCCAGTATGCAACTTAATTTCTTGACATTAGTTGGATTAATTTGGCAAAGTGCTTAAGAATATGCATGAATTTCACTGAAGTGAGTGGACACTTAATCAAATGCTTAAATATCCTGCTAAATCATGTCTGCCTTTATTTTCAGAGGCAAGTATTTCCAGGATGCACGCACTCATTAAAGGGGTGCACATATCTCACAGGGGACAGCACTGTTGCCAAATCACTTGAAAATAAATAAAGTTAGTCCCTAGTACTTACCTCAGCTTAAAATTTAACTGTAAGCGCAGCTTTGTTTTGCTGTTTGTAGTATTTCTTTGATACTTACATACGGATTTCCTTTTTGTCAATGTTACTCTGTCTTGTTTGGCAAATGAAGCCAGAATGAACTTCTCACCTCTGCTGTTCGGTGCAGACACGCGSGGTTTTGGTCAAGATTGTTTACGAGACCGTAAGCAGAGCCCAGTGCCTGATCCGCTCTCCTTTATGTGCTGCCTGCGGCTGGAAACAAGAAGCTGCTTCTCTGGCTGAAGATGGGTTATGCTGCTAGAAACAGTGCTGCGTTTTTGTTTCCTTTCTCTAGTTCCCCCCTAAAGTCTTTTTTTCTTTTTTTTTTTTCTGTTCTGCTTCTTATTTTCCCTCTCACATGGCAATGACTGAGGTTTCTTCCTCAAAACATGCCATGTTTGTGCCACTGCTGGGCTTTCTCTGGAGACCACTGCTGGCGTCACAGGCGCTCAGTTACAACCGGCTCTTCCCGTGCAGAACTCAAACATGTTGCAGAAAGAAACATGAAGAGCTGGATTTTGCTCCAAGCAGAAGAGAGAAGACTACCTTGGGTTGTCGCACTGTGATTGTGCTTCCTCAAAACCCTATGTCTCTGGGTATTCAAGAGAAAAAAATCCATCTTTTCCTCCTTTTTGCGCATTAATAGAAGAGCGGAGAGTCACATTTTTGAACACTGGCAGTTGGCACAAAAGGTCCTCTGCCATTTGCCATAATCCATCCCAAGGTATCTGATGGCATCTGGCATGCACATTGACTTAAGGGCATTTACTCTAAAGGAAACAACTAATGTAGTATGCTGGGAATAATCCCAGCCTTCCCTATGGCATCGAGAAATACCTCGTGCTTAGCTCCTTGGGAACTCTGTTCCCTCAGACCTTTATGCCTCTCATGTTAACATGATATCGCAGAAGCAACGACTATGTCCTTAGAAAGTCTGTTTCGCTGAGGCAAAAGCATCATTTCTCTGACTTTTAATTTAAAAAAAAAAAAAAAAATCATTCATTTCTGAGCATGTCTCCAGAGCTCTAGTGTAAATGTTTGTACAAGCCAGAGACATAGAGAAAATAAAGCGGCCTGAAGCAGCAGCCACTGCAGGCTGCCCGAACAGAGCTCCTGTATTTTAGCACAGAAGCGTAGTTGCTGCAGGGCCTTATCAACCCCAAACATCTTTGTTTTCACTCCACCTAACACCAGCCTGGCAGCATCACTCAGTCTTTGCCCAGCAAACCCAGCAGAGGGAGCAGAAAGCAGCTTTGTGCTCCCGCACACACCAGGAAACGTCACTTGCTTCTCAGCAGCAAAATGCCTCCCGTTTAACCCCACGGTCTCACTACAGTCAATAACAATATCCCCATTCAAAGCAAAACACTGTTTTCCTCAGGTCACACTAAGCGGAAGATCGTGGGGTGGGATAAGATTCCCAACCGGCTCAGTGTGCCCTGCGTCTGCCTCGTTGCTCTCGACTCCACAGCGCTGTCCTGTTAGCTTGAGCATCCAGTGCCCAAGACACCGTGGGGCAGCCTCCCACTGCCTGAAGAGGCTCTGTATCAACCTCTTCAAACAGCAAAAATGCTGCAAGCGCCAGAAGTTGCACTCGGTAGCCCTGATAAGGGACAAGCACCTAGAAGTGGACCTATAAACGGCACACAGTGCAGCAGTTCAACAGTTCTGTTGCAAAAGTGCTCTGCCAGTATCAACATGTAGAGATGAAGAAAGGCACAAAATTATTTTTCAATGTTTGCCTTTATTACAATATATATTTCTTTTCTTGTTGCGTGTTGAGGTGTTAAAATGATTTTCGTCATTGCAATAGCACATACATTTACAGGGTAAATATTGCATATAAATARTCTCTGAAATGATAATCCATATCTACACATAAAAATACCCAATGCCTTCTTTCCCCTCCCTCCCCAAATTACAGCAATACCATTGTATCTTGAACATAACCAACGCAATGAGTATGGCATTCTTTCCCTCACATGACACAGCTGGAGTGGTACGGTCATCAGACTCATGAAAATAAACATTAGTCACTCCTCTCTGCTGCATATTGTAGTTTGTATATGGTATAAATAGAATATACACTTATTTAATGTGCCTGCATATTTATATCATGTTAGCCAAACATTCTTTCTGTAACAGAAACCAGCATTACACTGAAAGCAAAGTTTAGTTTTCTCTTTCACAGAAAGAGTAGGAATTTGTTAAAYCATTCCATTTTTGTTCTCTATGAATTAACAAAGCAATCTAAACATACCGCATAAAAATGATCAACTACCAAATCATCTTATTCTCTTTTTAGAAAGTGGACCTACGATGAAGCAACGTTTCAAGCAGGTGAAGTCAACACTCTGATTTTCACATCTGTCTTTCCTGCAAATTTGGCAAATATTACCTCAAAACTATGTCTTTACATACTACATTTAAACCTTCGGACACAAAGGGTGAATCTACACAGTATGCCAGAAGCAAGGAGCTCAGCTTCACGGGATCACGGGAATGTTGGTGAGAAGGGACCCCCGGAGGTTGCCCAGCCCCACTTCCCGCTTGAGGCAGACGCTGCAGGCGGGTCGGCCGYGGCTCGGCAGGGCCAAGGCCTCAACGCTCCAACATGGATATTTCACAGTGTCTCTCTGCATAACCTAAACGAGAGCTGCACTACGCTAAAAAAACTGGACAGAATTTAAATGATCACCCATTGACACCACCACTGGCTCTGTGATACTAAAGGCAACAGCAAACGTGGGATTTGCTATTTGTTAAGCCATAAATAAATACATCATAGGCTAAAAGTGTGGAGATCTTTCAGATACCTCTTCTGATGGAAGCTGTAGTGTGCAGTAACTCGGGAAAACAGATCTTTACTAATAAAAATATAATAAAGCTGGTGGTATCCTACCAAATGGCTGGGGAGAAGGGATGATTTAGGTTTTCTTTTGCAAAATGAATGGACTGAAGCAGGCCTTTAGCATAAATAGATTAAGATGGGATGTGGTTAGTGTGTTCACTCATTAATTCAAAAACTAATGACAAGTATTAGAAAACACCTACAAAGGAAGCATGGCTGTATTTAGAGAGGCAGCCCACTCAATTTGGCAATCTGAGATCCTCACTATTTGTCTTCAAGAAAATTTGTACTAAATGTCTTCAGTCTGTAAGTAAAAAGATTTTTGCATTTTCTTTTAAACTTTCCTGACAATATAATGAGCTTGGGTTACTAAATGCACATTTCTTCCTCATGTGTTTGGTTCCTAATTCTGGCTCCTTCAAATGGGCAGGCACCTCAYCCAAACGGCTAAAGTTCACCTGAAAAGGAAGGAAGACTTGGGGCTGGGCTCAACACTGCACACTGCAGCTGCATGAGGGACTGCACGTACAGGAATTACTACTGAAAGTGCAGGGAAACCATAAATTGTTCCCCTGGCATCCCAGATAAAGCCAGCAGCTCTAAGAATTAGAGAATCTCTAGCAGAATTGCTATCCTCCTTTCACTGCTATGGCTTTTTTGGCTTGCAAATCCCGAATTCTTAGATATGGAGCAAGCGGGACACAGAKCAGCTCTTCCCAAATCTTTGGGCACTAGCAGACCGCAATCACATCTTAAAGTTTCCTCTGGACTGCTCTGCCTTCCTATTATTAAGAAACTCTTAACTGAAAACATCACAAAGCTGCTGTAAACCTTGAACCAGAGCCTCACAGATCACAAGCAGGCAGAGACCACCACCTGGGAACCACTGTTTTAACCATACTGAAATACAACACACATGGAATCCCACAGTGCCATTTTCCATCTTTTGGAGAACAAGCAGAGTCTTAAATATATTTCTAAAGAAAAAAAAAAAAAAGTTGATTTTGTAGCTACATGTTTTAACATTTTACATTTTAAATTGAAGTACCACATTGCATAAAGGCAGACCATTTGGAAAACATTATCAAGTGATCTGCAGTATTGCTTTTAACACACACAGTTAAACCTTAAGGCAGTCAAAAGCAGGTAGCAAAAACGGTATCTACAGCTTGTACCTGAAGAGCTGGAAAACAAACTTGTGGGGATGGGACTGAAGGGGAGAAAAGAGATTTCATTATCTCAGAAGACAGTAAATTACACTAAAAACATCCACTCTTTATAATACAAAACAGAAAAATCTCATATAGTAAAAACCTGAGATGCATCATTCACCTGCACTGAAGTTCACAATTTAGCAAAATATAATGCTTCAAATAAAACTGCTCCATTTGCAAAACCTTCAGTGTTCTCGGCTCAGCAATGGTTGTGAAATTCGGTATATTCAGTGTGCAACTTTACTGGAAAGCTGAACTACTGACTCCAGTGGGCACTCTGCACACTGGTCTACCTGTTCCACCTTCACACTTGGCTYCTCTTGAAGCAGGAGACTACTCAAATAYAGTGAGAGTGGCAGAACCCAGCTCTATTACTGCTTTTCCTTTCCATTTAGATTGCACATCAGACACTACCAGGTCAAAACAACAGACTGGAATTAATCAAAACAGCTCCACTGGCTTTGATGGCTACACTGATGTGCAATAGTTGAGGATCTGACCAATAACTAATCCTTACAAAAATATTTATTTGCCAAGTGAGGAGGGCAAAGAGAAAGAATCATATGATCTTTCAGATAAATTAACTTTGACTTTCCATTTACTGCAGTCCTTGCCCATTTGGCCAAATTAYGTCGGTAACGACAGGTGAGTGCCTTCACCTCCCTTGCTAGGAGCAGGGTTCAAATGAGATGAAAGATTTTGTTGATGCAGAAAAGACACCGAACCATTTTAACTGCAGCTCGTACATCATTACACTTGTATTTGTTTTTAGGTAATGAAACCGCATGGCACAATTTGGGCAGTTACATGAACAGCTAGAAACGAAAACTTCCATTCCTAGGAAGACTCACCTTTGTCACCTGGAAATGTGACTTTTAGTATGAAAAAGCTTTTCCAAGTTTGCTCACAGCAATGAATACAATGCTCACACATTACAGATTCCAGATGAACTGTCGACTGCAAAGCCAAGTGCTGTCCCTTYGGAACAACTCAATTCACCCTTTGAACTGAAGCAAAGAATTGGGAGATGCAATTAAGATGAGGCTGGAAGTACGTCCTGAGTTTCAAAAGGTGGTAGAGGCTCTCTCCAGTAGGTGAACTGACTGAAGGTATCAGAACAAGGGAAGTCTGAAGAATGGCTTCTTTTCAGCAAAGGGAAAATGTGATCAACCACTTCACACAGTCTGACATAACTGAAAAATAAATAAAAAGGATTCCAGACCACTCCARATCATCTTGCTTTGAATTAAGACACATCCCCAAACAGCAAGGCACAGCTACTCTCACAAGGACAAGTTATCTTCCCTGAAWGAATGAAATGAACCTTCATGTCAGTGCCTTGCTTCCAGAGAGGATTTAAGTACAGAGAATGACAGATCATTTCATTCTGAGCTAAAAAAGGTAATTGAGAAATAAGAAACAGATGATATTTTCTGACCAGGTCAACTCCTAAATTATCCAAGCCCCCTGTTTTGTTTCTCTGCTTCTGTTCAGCTTTGTTCAARGAGCTCCCTACCCAACTGAATATGCATGCGTTATGCACCTATTCCTTTCCATCCTCTGAGTGCAGCACTAGCCTAACTAAAAAGAGGTTTCTCTTGAATAGGAGGTGCTACCTAAGTGTCTTTTTGGAAACCCTCAGTCTCACATCTTCGGATTTTGTTTTCTGGCTCCTCTAACCCAGAGCTCCGGGAAAGGGAAATTTCAGGAAAGGTAAATTTTGAGTGGTATATGCCTAAAGGCCATGAAAATGCAAATTACTTTAGGAAACAAATTTATCTCATTTTTTAACAGATTATGTTATTTAGAAGTTTTTCCTCTACATGATTAAAATAGATGGAATATAGTATAACTTTTTTAACTACATTTTTTAAAAAGTTCTTCAAATCAACCTAAGAAAGGTAGAAAATCAGTATTTTTTATTATTTTACTTGAAATACTCTGAAGAATCTTTCATTAGTAAAATCATATCCACACTTGGGCCACTTTAGTCATAAATTATATCAAGAATTAGTTTAGCCTCTGTGGTGCTAGGGATAAACGTTTACTTACGATGAGATGTTTGTTTTTGCATGCTCCTGTATAAGTTCTCCTTTGGGGTTAACTGTAAATATTCTGTTTAAAGACACTCCCACCTGTTTGTATGAATAAACATCCTAAACAGAAGGAAAAAGAAAAAAATCATGATTCTGCCATTGCACATAGCTTGTAAATTTACTTTATTATTGTATATCTGAATGTTACAAAAATGAACTCAGCAGCATCATAAAATTCTCACGAAATAAATGAGTTACAGCTAGATTTGGAGTCTGCTACTTTAATTTAAACTACTGATTGAAATCATGTTTTGTTTGTATCAGTGATTTCTCTTGACACAAAAATAAAATTCAATAAAAAGAGAAACTAACAACATTTCAGTGTAAAGGTATTTGTACTTTTTTTTTTTTTTTTTTTTTTCA